ACTCGTGGGACAGCCCTGTTTTCTGCAGCCTATGGGTTGCCCCAGGTCAGAGCTATGGCCTTGTTAAAAGTGCCCTTATTCCCAGGCTGAATGGCCACATCTATGTGGCTGCAGCAGCCCAGGTTCCCCTCTCTATTACTACGTTTGCTCCCCATGCAGTGGCTGCAGCGCTCGTGAGCTCATGGACTTAACCATCAGACCTTCCCACTGTAAACTGTTTTACTCTCTGAAAGCCGAGAGCAGCTCCCAGGCAGGTAATTAATTAGAAACGTGGATTCGGAGGCTTGTTTCCCTTCCTTCTGTGTAGCTGCTGTTATTTCTTATTTCAAATGACTTTTTTATTGAGCGTCTTATAAACATGACTCTGTTTTAATGGAGAAATCGCTCCCCTCCCACCCTGGGCTTTACAAACAGCATGTCTCCAAGCTCTGCTGCTCCTTGCTGATGCTGTCAGCCTCTGTGTGTGTGTGTGTGTGTGTGTGTGTGTGTGTGTGTGTGTGTGTGTGCACAGCCGCGTGCATCCATGCACACACACATGCAGAATTAAAACAGGAGTTTGACAGCTATGGATCCAGCCAAGCTCCAGTTGACTTCAATACAACCCTGCCTGGTTTATGAGCCTTTGGAGCACAGCCTGAGCAGGGGCAGCTTGTATAACGGCCGTGCATGATTAGTGCTTGTATTACAATAGCACTTCAGGACCCCAATTGCGGCTCAGCGCCCCATTAGAGTAGTCCTTGTACAAACACGTCATAAAGACGCGGGCTCTGACCCAAGCAGCTAACAATTGAGGTCTTTATAGCCCCCGAGGCACCTTAGGATCAATTATTTCTATTACAGTAGCACTTACGGCATGTCTGTGCCCACGCTGCGCTGTCTGTGGGCTGTGGTGGGAATTTGGGGGGCTGCAGGCTTTGCTGGTGGAGCTGTGAGTGATGCTTAGTACTGAGGAAAATTGCTGGGGAGAAGCAGGAGAGGGTGTGGGAACCTTGTGCTGATAGCATGGCCCTGCATGCAATGGGTCCTGCCCACCCCATTGCTCTGGTGTCATTCTGGTGCTGCAAGCCTGGTGCACATGGGTGCAGGAGAAACCCTTGCAGACAGGTACAGCACCTGGTGAGGCTGAACAGTGGGACAGGGAGCACAGCAGTGGCTCTGTGTCCTGCAACACTGTATGGTGCAGGCTGCAACCCCAGCACCTGCTCTCTGAGCAGCGAGCTGCTCCAGTTCTACCTGCATCGCCATCCTCACCTGCATCATGCTCATGTCACTGTAAATCTGGGGTTCTGCTGAGATGTTTAAAGGGTACTTCTTACATTTTCCCTGATTCCTTGGACCCGTTTATGCTTTGTGCTTTACCTATTCCAGATGGGTTTATCATTGCAGCAGTGACTCCAAGCATCCCAGCCAACTTCGGCTGCTGTTGGGAGGAACCATGGGCTTCATTTGTTCTCTCCAGGGTGGGCACAACTCCATCCTTGAGGCTGGGATGCAGGAGGAGCCCAGCTTGCTGCTTTGCCTTTGACATATAAATCTCCACCTCATTTAACTGCCTGCTCCCTGGAACAGGGCCCCGAAAAAGGAAAAGAGAAACCCCAGCAAACCTCACTTGCCCAGCACCGCTGTGATATATCACTGCATCCCAAGTGCTGCTGCCGGCGGGATCCTGGCTCACAGCTGGCTGTGATCTCTCCTCCTCTCTGGGAGAAAGCCCCGGCTTTAATTCGATGTCAACATGAACAGCTGGCTGAGGAAATGCAAGTTGCAGCTCCGCTTCTCAGCAGCTGATACCGCTGCAGGCAGGCGGGCTGCTGGGCTCGGGGAGCTGCGTGGGACTGGGTGGGCGCAGAGCCCGGTGTGATGGGTGCTGTAGGGTGCTGCCCTCCAAAAATTCCTAAGAAAAATCCTTATACATTCATAAAAGTGTAGAGAATTTCTTAAAAATTCTTAAACGTTGGCTCGTTTTTTTGCAAGCACGCAGCTGAACCACCAGCGCACATCTCAGCCCCGTGCTGCCCACTGCAGCCGCAGTGCTGTGCAGGAGCCGGGGGGCCTTTGGGGGCGCCCCCACCCTGCCCTGCAGCTGCGCCGCTCCCTGCCCTGCTGCCTCTGAACCCGCCGCGCAGCATTGCACATCTGTCCTGCACCCGGCTCTGTTATCTGCTGCGGCTCAAACCTGCCCTGCAGCATTGTAAGAGTTCCCTTGAATTCGTTTTTTTTTTTCCTCCCCCCCCGGCCCCTCCTCCTGCTCTGCTTTCTAGCACAAAGTGCCCTGAAGCAGTGCAGCTTTTGCAGCTTTTTTTTTTCTTGCTGTGGGTGTCCCCAACTCCCGACTAGGGGGGATATGGGGGGTGGTGAGGGGGGTTGTCAGGAGCTCAGTGCTGCACAGGGACCCGGCTCTGGCTCTGCTCTGAGCACGTTGCAGCCCACACCATAAGTAAACAGAGCCGAAGTTATAGGTCCGGGGTTGGGTCATGAGCTTTGCTCTTTGGTTTGGTGCAAGGAGGATTTCCCCGAGGTGTTCTGCCTAGAAGGTGGGGTCCAAACCCTCTCCCCCCCCTCTGGAGCTGTGCACCTTTAGGGATGTTTCTCAGCTTCTTGCTGGGCTGCATCCCAACACATCTACACAGGCATCAGGAAGGCAATGGTTGTGTCAGTGACCCAACTTTCAGGCTCCAGCGGGTGAGGGGGAACCCATCGTGTGCCCCCCCCAGCACGGGGCTTGAGTGACACTGACCCCAACGAACATGCCAAATCCATCAATCCCTTTTGGTTAATTGGCTCATGCGCTGCTCGTAGCAGGAGTTGGGATCATAGGAGACGCAGAGGCTTTGCTGTGCAGGGCTGTGCAGAGCCCCTTTGGAGCAGGGGGAGGGACAGCAGTGGGTGCCACCACATTGCACTGCGCCGTTCAGGGGGTGTCAATGCAGTCCTCCCTGTGCTGTTCCCAAAATTGCATCCTAAACGCTGCAGGGTGGAGATGTGGGGTTCAGACTGTGCGTGCTTGCAGAGGTGATGTATCCCATTTGGGGAAGAATTCCAGCTTTTTTGGGGTCAATGGTCCAGATCCAAGCATTGGCCAAGGGGAGCTGCTCCCCTCCTGCCTTGGAGCTGTGGGGGATGCAGAGTGGGGATGCATTGTGCAAACAGTGTTGCTCGCATGCAGCAGGGCTGGGGCAGAATGCAACCCCACATTCCGTGCTGCTCACAGCACAGCCCAACATCCCACTGAGTTCTACAAACCCACTCACCCTCCCTGGGAGGCTGTTAATAAATCAGACACCTGTGGGGATTTGTTTTGTTTTTAACTTTTAATACAATGTATATTTATTGCAAACAATAATATACAAAAAAAAAAAAAAAAAAAAAAAAAAAAGGTAAGTTTCACAAAGAGGAGGATCTTGCAACCAAAACCAAACTTACCTAAAGACAAAAATATGATTTAAGTGACAGGTCTTTTAAGTTACAGAAATACTTTAAAAAAAAAAAAAAAGATCTGCTTTTATACAGAAATAGAGAGATGCCATATTATAAGAGTGCTTTCAGATTTCTCCTACTGAATCCTTATTAAAAAAAAGACAACAAAAAGTTAACAAATATATCTTTTTTTTTCTTTTTTAAATTAAAAAAACAAAACCCAAAGTTGGCTGTCTTTTTTAAAAAGCAATCCTTAACTGTTCAGCCACAGCTTCATCAGAGTCCATGAAACCCCCCTAAGAGCTGCGCTGGGGTCTGGAAGGCAGAGATGGGGTCTGGTTGTGTCCCATAGAGCTGAGGCAGGAAACAAAGGCAAATGATTCAGTGATGCGCTACATTTGCAATCTTCAGTTTGTCTGACATTTTATAAAGGTTTGGAAGTTCTTTATTTTTTCTTTATTTTTTTTTTTTTTTCTTCCATTATTATTATTTTTTTTTTAATTATTTTTTAATTTTCCAGTTTCTCCTTAAGAAAGAAAAAAACCAAAAAAAAAGGGGGAAAGAGCGCGAGTTTGTACAAACCCAGGACACAGAAAAAACGAAACCAACCAACCCAACAAACAAACAAACAAAAAGAATAATAATAATAATAATAAAGGAATCAAAAGAGATAAATAAAAGGACTGGTTACAGTTCTGACCATAATTTAACAGGCACCGTTACCTTCCCAACAACGCTCCCATCATGTCATCGCTCTTCGAAGGGACTTAAAATATAGAAAGGGAGATTTTTTTTTCTTTTTTCTTTTTCTTTTCTTATTAAATGGTGATTAAAAATTGCTCTTCTCGGGGAACCAACACAGTCTCTGTTGACCCCCCCCCCGGGGCTGGGGGCTCTCAGTGTGAGCCCCAGGCTGTGCGCGCAGAGCTGGGCCAACTGATCAGCACAGGGCTGCTTTAAGGCTTTATCCAGAGCGTCTTTTTATTTTTATTTTTTTTTTGCTGGTTTCTTTTTTAAGGCTCAAGGTTGTGAAAAAATAACGATACAAAAAATCTCCTGGCTGCTCTTTTTCAGTTATTTCTTTCTTTTTTTTTTTTTTTCTCCACTTTTGCTCTCCTCTCCAGTTAGAAAAATAGAAAACCTCTTCTTCCCCACGCCCATCCCTGCTGAGCTGACCCTATGCAGCACCGATGGCAGCGAGAAGCACGCGGCCCTGCTTTGCTTTCCTCTTTATTTTCCTTTTTTTTTTTGTAATTTCTTAGAGAAAAAAAGACCCCCAGCTGTACAAAAATACCTCTGACCACACAACAACAACAAAAAAACCCGAGCGCTGCCCCCGCTAAGCGTTCACTTTTTCAGCTGTTGGAAAAATAAAGAGCATTTTACCAAAAAAAAAAAAAAAAAAAAAAAAAATCTCTACAAAATAGGTATAAATCCCCTCAAACTGGTAACGAATCATACACAGTACATACTAAAAAATATTTAAAATAGAGAATATCTCCTCACAGAGGACTCAGCTTTCTCTTTTTTTTCCCCCCCCACCCCACAACCCCTGTTTTTTTTTTTTTTTTTTTCGCCCTTTTTTTTAATTACTGCTAAAAAAAAAAACCAACAAAAAAACCCCTCAAGAAACCCAACTCGTAACCAAAGTCCAGCAAACAGAGGACACCTCCAGCCCATGCCCACACATTGGGTCCTTTGGGGCTGGCACTGAGCTCCGGGCGCTGTGGGCATTTCCCAGCTTGAACTCGAGCATGTTTTATTTTATTTTTTTTAACTTTATTTTTTTTTTTCCTCTCTTCAATCATCATTTCTATCTGCAAGAAAGGAAAGTCTGCTGGAAGTCCTTTGCTTTCACTGCCTCCTTTCATTCTTTTTCCTCTCTACTTCTTCTTTTTTTTTTTTTTTTTCTCCTTTCTTTTTTTTTTCTCCTTTTCCTTTCCTTTCTGATTGGTTTGTTTATTTATTTATTTGCCTTCACGTGGCTTTAAGGCCGGGTGAGCTGCGTGTAGACGGGCTGTTCCCAGTGCTGCGGGCTGTGGGTCTGCGGGATGGAGGGCACCCCCGACGTGTCTGCGATGGGGGTGTACATGGGGCGCTGCGTGGGGTTCATGTAGGTGAAGGTGGAGTAGAGCCCTCCGCTCTGCCCGGCGGCGTGGCTGTAGTAGGAGCCGGAGTTCTGGTGCTCGGTGTAATCGTACTGCGAGCGGGTGATGGGGGGGTACGAGGAGCCGTAGTGCTGCAGGTTGAAGGAGCCGTAGCCCAGCTGCTGCTGTTGCTGCTGCTGCTGTTGCTGCGGGGAGTGCTGCTGCTGCTCGCTGTAGTGGCTGGGGCTCAGCTGCTCTGTTTTGATGTGCGGCCGCTGCTGTGCCGGGCCCTGCTCACCGCTCAGTGCTGGCAGTGCGTGCTGCGCCGGGGGCTGCGCCGGGGGCTGCGGGGGTTGCGGCTGCTGCTTGGCCATCCAGGCGTGCCCCGCGCCTGCCGGAGAGCCGGCCGAGCTGCTGATGCCGTAGGTACCGCTGTAGGTGGTGACTTGGCCGTGGGTGGCCGGGACCCCCGGGTGGCCATTGGGGGGCAGGTATTGGTCGAACTCATTGACGTCGAAGGTTTCGATGTTAGAGATGACATCGCTGCTGAGCTCGCCGATGTCCACGTCTCGAAAATCGATGTGGGGAGGTTGGCGGCCGCCTTCCGCCAAAGGGCGGCCCTCGCGTTTCAGGTCCTGCTTGCCTGGCTGCTGAGCGTCCGTCTTGGGGGTGGTGGGGGGTGTGGGGGGGCCCTGTGACTGCCCTGCAAGGGAAGGAGAGAGTGTGAGTGTGACAGGGGGATCGCACCGGGCACCTCGCGCCCAACGTGATAATGGTGTTAATAGTTAACCTCGTCCCTAAGGCTTGGGGGGGGTGGGCAGATGCACAGGGGAACTCAAATATCTTCAGGTGCAAGGAATGAGAATGCTGATGCTGTGGATGCCCATCTGTTGCACCAAGTAAAGAAAAAAGAATCACAGCTTCGCATTTCTCATGGGCAAAGCAGGGTGGAAGTGGCCTCAGGGGTTGGCATACATGGGTCAGCACTTGTGGCACTGCTATGGGCAAGCCTGATGGACCCCTTCTCACTGTGCTCGTGGCTCTGTATTTCCCCTTACTTTCCTTATTTCCCCCATACCCGCCCCTGATCTCAGCCTGCTTTGCTGACCCCAGAGCTGGGTGTGGAATGTGACACCTACCCGAGTGCTCCCCGGGGGAGTGCACCTCGCTGATGCTGGAGGATGACTGCGGGGAGTCTGCCTGCAGCGCCTTGAAGATGGCATTGGGGGAGATGTGGGTCTGCTCAGAGCCCTCCTCCTGCTCCGACTGCCCGTTCTTCACTGACTTCCTCCTGCGTGGTTGGTACTTGTAGTCAGGGTGGTCCTTCTTGTGCTGTACCCGAAGCCGCTCGGCCTCCTCCACAAAGGGACGCTTCTCGCTCTCGTTCAACAGCCTGAGGAGGATGGGGAAGGAGGGGGTTGGGGTCAGCTGCAGCTCATGGCAGGGAGCACGAGTGTTTCCCTCCACTCTAGTATCAATATCAGCCCCAAACCTCTCCCAGTCCCCACAAACAGTGATGCAAACCCCCTCCCCTCCAACACTGAACCCCCACTTCGGGGCACACACTGGTGGTCACCCCACATTTCAATGATCAAACGAGATGTGTGAGAGTGCCAGTGCTCCTCAGCCGCCCCCCCCCCCCCCATCACTGGGCACTTTGGGTGACGGCTCTGGTGTCTGCTGCCAGGACCAGAGTTGCTCACCACTTTCTCCTCCTGCTGTGAATTTAGGATTCCCCTCCGCTCCTCCTTTCTGCAGTCACACTCATTGGCAGCCAGGTGACTCACTTGCTTTCTGGTTTTCACCCCTCCCTGCCTTATTTTGGAAGGCGGAGGGCACCCAGCCACCCCTGGGCACCCTCCTGGGGGTTGGCAGCTTTCACCCCCTCCCCTTACTCTGCACAGAGCTGATGCAATCTAGGCCCATCGCTTCCCCTGCACATCACCAAATGCTTCCCTGGCTGCAGTACACGCAGGGCATGTCTAAGTCAGAATAAAACCTTTGCAAGAGCAGAGGGCAGCCCCAGGGCTCTCTTTGCCCTGCTTTTCCCCCCTCTCCTTTCCCTGCTTTCCCCTCATATTCTGCCAAACAACTTTGCCAGCGCATGCAAAACTTTGCAGCAACTTTTCCAGGCTTCCCACCATCCTCTCCCTCCTTTTTCTCTCACAACTGGAGCAAACTCTGAAGGCTGCATCCCCATTTCAGCATCCCCCCACCCCACCCCAGGGCATCGCTCCCAGCCCTGCTCACCTCCACAGTTTGCCCAGCGTCTTGCTGAGCTCGGCGTTGTGCAGATGAGGGTACTGGTCAGCCAGCTTCCTTCGAGCCGCCTGGGCCCATACCATGAATGCGTTCATGGGACGCTTCACGTGGGGTTTGTTCTTGCTGGATCCGTTCACTCGCACGGGCATGGGCACCAGGGTCCAATCGTAGCCCTTGAGCACCTGGCTCACAGCCTCGCGGATGCATACGGGGAATTTGTCCTCGTCGCTCTCCTTCTTCAGGTCCGGGTCGCCTTTGGGAAAGGTGTTCTCTTGGGGTCGGGTGTTCTCCGTGTCCGAGCCGGATCCGGAGGGGCAGGGAGACCCGGCGGAGTCATCCGACATGGTGGGGCTGGGGGCGTCGGAGATGCATTTGTCCTGTTCTTCTGTCATTTTCATGAAGGGGTCTAGGAGATTCATGCGAGAAAGCGGCAGAAGGGGGATCAGGGGAGGAAAAAAATGGAAAGAAAAGAATAACCGTGCGGCTGAGGGGCGGGGAAGGGTTAAAAACAGAAAGTAAAACGGGGAGAGACGGAGTCTCCACCAGAGCGCAGCCCGGCTGCGAGAGGAGGGAAGAAGCTGGAAAAGTTTGCAAAAGTTTTTAACGTTCTCTTTCTCTTTCCCAACTCCTCCAAGCCAAAAAATCAGTAGAGCGGCGAACTTTTTGCAAGCCGAGGGAGAGAAAAGCGCGGGGCCGTGGGTGGCGGTGTGGGGCCGGGCGCGCCCCGCGGCTCTGCAGCGCGGCTCTGCGGCCCGCTCCGCGCCGCGGGAATAAATACTCTCCGTGGCGATTTCGGCTCGGCAGCGCTCCGCCAATGGGCGGCCGGCCCCCGGGGGCTGGCGCGCACGCGATTGGTCGAGGCGCCGCCGAGGGGCGGGGCCGGCGGGCGCGCAGCTCCGCGCACAGCCGCGCAGGGGGGCGGCCGCGCGAAGTTTTGCGGGAGCGCCGGGGTGGGGCGCGGGGCGGCGGGAGCCGTTCGGCTTCGTTTCGCTCCGCCCCGCGACGGGTTCGGGCTTCCCGGGCGCCGAGCTCCGTGCGCTGCGTGCCGGAGGGGTTCCCGCGGATCGGCGCGGAGCGGTCCGAGCTCTGCCCGCAGCGTGGGGAGCGGAGCCGCGGGCGGTGCGCGCCGCCGTCCGGAGGGGCAGCGGCGGGTGCGGGAAGCGCCCGAAATCCTCTTCTTTTTCATTATTAAAAGTCTCCCAATCCATTTATTGTTTTTACGGACCAAACTCTACTTTTTTAACTTAATTTTGTTTTTTGTTTTTTTTTTTCCCCCTTATACTCTAATTCAGCGTTTAAAGTCAATTTTTATTTTCTTTTATTCACTTATTTCCCCATAGCGTTCTCCTTTCTCCACCCTTTCCCCACGGAGCGGCTCCGCGCTGCTGCGGGCATACGGGAGCCGAAGGGGCTCATCGAACCCGCCAAGTTTTGCTAAGTTGTCCAACTCTGATCATCGGAACTAAACAGCAGAAAGTGACCAAATAAGCGCCGGAGCTCTTCGGGTTGTGTCTCTGTTGCAGGGTTATGTGTTGAAATACACCGGTGTTCCCTTACGGTGAATCATACGACACGCGAGTAAACTTATTAGGGGATGCAGGAGAGGGAGAGAAGCTGTTACCTGGATGGAGCTCAGCACAGGACTCGCCTCGCTGGGTGTCAGGGAGGGGGTGGTGATGCTCTGCAGCGCAGACGGGCGCTTGGAGCTGCGGGAGCTGCCTTCTTCCCGTCCGACCCGCTCGGGGCAGCGGTGGCTCTCGATGCACCCCGCGCAGTCGTTGGTATCAGGCCGAATCTTAGGGCTGGGGGCTTCGTTAACGCCGCTGCTATTGGCAGCCTTTGTCCTTCAGGACGGGATCCGGCTCAGCCGGTGCGCGTCCCTCTTCCCTGTTCGTAAGGGGATTTTCGAAGTGCTGGAAATGGCACGTGAAAAAAAGTATTTAAAAAAAAAAAAAAAAAAGTTTTTAAAAAAATGCTTAAAAAGAAAAGCAAAAGGCAGCGAGGGAAGGAGCTCTGAATAAACGCATCTGCAAGCAATCTCCCCAGTGCATCCTGCTTGTCTTTTGCTATCTTGCCCCGAGACTTTGCTTGCAAACTGTGGGGGAGTAGTTATCTGTGGGGGAGCTGGAAGGTAAGTGCTGTCATGTAAGTGCTGTCCTGTGAGTGCTGTCCTATTTCCAGACCTTTGTCTGCAGGAGCAAGGACGGAGCGCGGGTGCTGGGGTGGGTTTCCTTTGGGAGCTTTTGGCGTTTCCTACCCTTCTCTGCAGCACAGAAGACCGCCTCATAGGGCTCCGTGTCGTTACTTTGTGTCCCAGAGAAGATGTGCTGAGTTTTGTGTCGTTATTTTACAAAATTAAACTCACAGCAAACGTTCAAGGGGGGGGATTTAGAAACCTTTTCCTTTGGTGATTTCAGCTCTCGGTCAGTGCGTGAGTGGAGCTGAGCCCTGCAGGTCTCCTTTGCTGTGTGTCTGTGATGGGAGCATCCCGGATTGCTTGGGAAGGGCACTGCTGTGAGCTGGAGCTGGGCAGCAAAACCCCAACCAGCAGCGTACCTGACGGGGGAAAGCGCTGTGACAACAGATTAATTAGCAGCTCTGCTGCTGATAAACTCCAGAGCAGCTTTGATGGGGTGCAAAGCATAAGAATGAGAGCGTTTCTCGTTCTGAAAGTCCGTCTGCTGGAAGCGCCGCCGCCTTTTCGTTACCAAAGGATCTGCTTTAACAAAAGAAAGCAGTTGGACAAGTTTGAGCCATAAGCAAAAGTGAAACGTAAAGGAGCTTCCCAGTTCTGTTATCGTATGTAATTTTATCGTTTTGGAATTACTGTTTTTAATTCCTGCTTTTCGGGCAATAGGGGCACTCTGGTTAATCATGGGCGCGTTGTGAGCTTATGAACGTCCTTTGTAGGTCAGGATGGAAGTTCCCTTTTCTTTTTGTAGAATTTACATTGTTTTATCATAAGCAGTGAGCTCGGATGTCAGGAAGGATTTTTAGCAAGGAGCCCACGGATTATAGACCTCATTCCATGGTTTTATTCCCTTATGCTCAACCAAATCATTGTATTTTAGGCAACAGTCCCTTCAAAGCTCTGGGCAGGGAGAGAGGCAGCAGCTTTAGCAGCAAAGGGAACAGCAGCAGCCGTGTGGGTGTGCAGAGAGTGTTTCTCTCCAGCCATACAAACGCCCCATAGAAACGATGTGCAACAGAGAGGTTGGGTTTTGCTCTTGCTCCAAAATGAGCTTTGTTTTGCAGGTGATTTTTTTTGGGGGGGGGGTTTCGTCCACTTCGCTGTGCCAAGGTTGCTGCTGCCCAAAGCCTGCTGGTGTGATGGGCACCAATGCTGTGGGGCGGGTGGTGTTGTCACCAGGCTCTTTTGACCTCGTAGGGCTGGTGTTGATGTCACCCGGCCCCTCTGCAAGCTTTGGGTTGTAGTTGCAGTCCCTAAGAACAGGTAGCCGGGATGCACCAATGTGTGTTGATATCAGAACTGCATCGCCCACTGCTTGATGGAACAAAACTCAGTGCCAGATAAGGCTGTGCCATGGAAGCGGCCTGGGGGGCTGCTGCTGTGTTTGGGGGCGGCTTTCAGCTGCACTTAATTGCAGTGTAATTATCGCTCTCCCCTATAAAAGCCTCTCCTTCCTCAGCAATGACACTTTATTAAAAATGGGGGTTCTGCAGCGACCCACCCTGCACAGAACAGCTCCTCAAGGGGTGTTTTTGCTCCGTTACTGAGCAAAGCGAGGAATATTTCTTCTCCATTACAAAAGCTGCAGCTGGGGGAGAACAACACAGCTCAAGGCCACGGGTGGGTGGCACAGCCCTGCCTGGTGGCACTCGGTGCCATTTGGCACAGCACTCACCGAGCTTTCAATTTCCCAAGCGTTTCTCGGGCAGGGGTTGGGGTGTCCTCATCAGGAGGTCATTGTACCGAACGAAGGGCTTTAGCAAATTGGTGGTGAAATGATCAATTCATTTTGCAGGTGTAGCTCGGAATTGCTTGATGTGGTGTGTTTGCGTTCTTGTTTTCAGTGCTTAGAAATCTGTCCCAGTAATGCACAGCTGCTCCAGGCTGAGCTGCAGGCAACGCCGTGCTGTGATTGAACACCAGACCAGGTTTGGGTGAGCTGCAGCTCGGGCTGGGTTCCCCTCTTCTTGGTGTGTGAAATTTTGCACTGAGTGCCTGAAGGTATTTGCTTTACAGCCTTTATAATTCGTGCCCGAAAATCCCATCTGGCTGCCCCGGTGGATTGGATAAAGCAAAAGAATTTTGAAAGACGGGAGTGGAGAATCTCAGGGCTTCAGGGAAGCGTTTGTGATTATTTCTAAGGAGGGAGTTGGGTGGCAGTGGTTGTTTGCCCACCTCTGTCGGCTGTGGCTGTGAAATCACTGCACCTTCATTGAGGCCATGAAGCAGCACTGGGGAAAATGCTGAAGGCTTTTGGATCAGAGAAACGCTTTTTCCTCTGGAAAATACTCCAAGTGTGACAATCTGAGAAAAGGAAGGGGAAAGTGGGGATTTCTTCCCTCCTTTTGGAGCCCAGAGCTGAGCACAGGGCAGTGCGGGATGAGGTTAATGCTCCTTGGCTCCCATGTGAGCACGCAGAACCTCGCCGTGGTGTTCTCCTTCTGCTGCAGCCAGAAAGCACCGTGCACAGAGTTGTGCCTCACAAGTGCCCATTTCTGGAGATGAAAGCAATGCGTTTCTTGCTTATTTATTTATTTGCTCGCAGCGCTTGTCTCCAGGCTCCGCAAATGTCGGCAAATGGAAAATTTATCAGGCTCAGTTAGAGGGGAATGGAAACACGCAAAAAGTGCTGAGTGTTTCTTCTTGTTGAGGACAGTTTTTGTTGTTATTATCGTTATTGTTATTTCTTCTCAAGATGCACCTTTATCTTGCATGCAAGCCTTCATCCCCATTTGGGTATTGCTGTTGAATGCTGTGGGTTTGCCATGTTTTGGGGCTCCAAGGAGCGGCTGTGCCCCAGCTCTGGTCCCTGTGGGGGGGCACTGGGCTCTCCCCCCCTCCACCCCAGTAGCTCTGTGCACAGTCCCCAACTGGATGCTGAGATAATTCAGTCTGGTTTGAACGACTTTGGGTGAAGCGATCAAAGCCAGAACTCAAAGCTCAGGTATAACGAGCACAAAAGGTGCAGCTTTCATTTACAGCAGCACCGAGTTCTCCTGTAAAGGACAAATGACCCTGGGCAAACGGTGGCTGTGAGTGATCAGCACTGTCTTCTCCCTCTGTTTTTCCCTTTTCTTCCCATAAAGGAGCAGTGTCCCAGATCACAGCCGCTGTCACTGCTGTCTGTGCTCAGTGTCCTCCCGGCTCCATCCGCAGCCACAGAGACGCGGTGTCCTCAGCATGGCATCCCCAAGACCCCCTCTCTTAAAGCAGTTAAAAGAAAGTTTGCTTTGAAAGACAGAAAACCCGATTATAGAAATTAAAAGGAATGCTCCCAACCCAGCCATAAATCCTGGTGGATTCTGGTTAATGCATCTATTTTTTAAGTTTATTTGAGCTTGGCACCGCTCGCTCCCTTAAGCGGCTGTTCGTTAACGCGCTGTGCAAATTGTACACCATGTTTCAGTCACATACAGATAAATACATGGCAGTAATTTTAAACCAGCCCTATTATGTTTTCCAAGCAATAGTTCGAATTACGCAGCCCGGCAACAGCTTACAAGAAATCCATCAGAATTGGAAGGGGGAATAAAACT